TTTCTTCGTATATTACCATAAAACCTTGAAGAAAAAGTTCCGGGTTTCCCGCACCACGCTACTTTTTTTTTATCAGAACAATTGATTCTGATTGTTGTCCATTAATGTCTAATCGAATATATCCGTCACTCTAATCTCTTGTCACATAGGCAATAACTCAATTGTTCTTTATTGCAATGTCGCTAGAATCTGCGCCATTCGATTCTCTTTTTGTCTAGTATGGTAAGATTAGGTGTTTTTTTTTCATTGTGCCTATGAAACCTGTGCAACTCCTGAACAAAAAGGGTTGAAAATCTTATTATTCATATCAGGCATGTTCTCTTTTCTTGGAAGCGAATTTACCGACTTTTCGTTCCAGGATATGCCTGTACAGGCCAGCATTTACATTGTAAATGTGGCTCTCAACTCCTTTATTATTCTGCTTGACATTCTCGTCATCTGGGCAGCTATAAGAAGTCGTGAAATCTGGCGCATTTTTGTACTTCATATCATAATTACAGCAATGGTGGTGGATATCGCTGCCTATTTTAACGTTATCCTTCATGATGTGCCAAGTTACGCACTCAACAGAGATGTATCTAGTGAGTTTATATCTTGCAGCATAACTGGAGAGTGACAGGACAATTTCCTTTTAAGCACTTGGATCGCAATACATTTCCATCACTGTTCTTTTCTTGCAATGGTTTACGCAGCTTTTTTCCTGCCACTCCTGTCTTTTATTCATTTTACTGCTATATTTTCACCAACAAAATTTCGAAATTTCTTTATCAGACGACTCTGGATTACCAATGTAATAATCGTTGTGATTGGCTTTGTGCTAACAAGTAAGTAATTTCATTTCATAATCCTAACTATTTCTTCCTAATTTACATTGCAGCACCATTTTTAACAAAGTACTGTGGTTACGATTACATTCTTGAAAGCAACTATTGGTATTTTAATTATGAGAAACCTTATACCCACTTATATGCTAAGATAAATATTGTTTGCCAGGTAGAAGTTGTCTGACATTCTTTTCCACGAAACACCGAACAAAGGGAGTCAATTTAGGCAGTTTGTGTTGTGGTCGTTGTGATAAGCGATTCGCTTATTGTTTGGAAGATCTTTAGCTTACATACCTCTTACAACAAAACGCGTGTTGTGACAATTTCCGTATCTGACAAGGCGCCAGAAAGAAGTAAAAAGGTATTTGACCAAAGAGAAGGCAAAACTCGTATCCGTTCCAGGAGAATTTATTTGCTTTTAGGAGTACAGCTATAACCGCAAACGAGAATCTCGGCTTGCGTTGAACTTTGTATTATCAAATGTTTGTTTTCTGATCATGACCGTATGCTTCAACATTGTTTTGGGGGTGAGTATTCATAGACTAGTTTCAGCCTACATATTGGTGGAGTTGCTCAGAAATGTGGGAATTCTCGATGGGAATGTTGGACAACCTAGAATTTTCTTATAATTAATGTGACACACGAGTTGGTAGTCTAGGGACACACTGGAACAAA